GACCCTGCATAGGGTTTCCAAGAGTGATTTGTGGGTTTGAACTGCTGACTTTGTGGTCATCATTCCAGTGGATTGCTAAAAACAGTAGGAAAGAAAAAGTATGTGCTTTATTTTCTATGTCTCATTGCTTTTTCTCAGAAAAGACAGATTCACAGCAATGGCCTGCTCTGTTCATAAGACTTAGGCTGTGTCAGGCAGACGCTGACATGTTATCAGAAGGAGGCTGTAAAGAATATAGAGTGATCATGATCACTGAAAGGAAGGTTACCTATGCACAGCAGAATTTTAGCCACACATGTACAGACTCAGGCATGCCCTTACATACACATTCACTACCATCTATAAACCTAGGCCATGTGCAGATGTTTCATAGCCACATTTGCACTGGATCTCTCTGCTTGGAGCAGAGACTGACTACTTATAGAAAGACAAAGTGCTTCTTCTGAAAATTGACCTTTTAACACTTGAGTAAAAGGGTCTTACTTGCTTTTGAAGTAGAATGCTGCGCAGAACATGCCCACGATGACAATTCCAAAGATGATACATGAAATTGACAGCACTTGCCTTTGATAAACTTCTTCACTCTCTGTGAACAGAAACGCAGAAATAAAGTGGATATTAGTAGGGCACAGCAGAGCTCATCCCCATCCTTGTAAGTCTGAACTGATAGAAGTCTTTCAAAGCCCCATTTCTTCTATCTGTCATGGACAGAAGAAAACATAAGAGGGTTACCAAGATTCAATCGTTTTACAAAAGTCTTTGTTGTTGTAAATCAATTGAGTTAGTTGCCACTCATAGCAACCCTGTATAGGGTTTCCAAGGAGTAGCTGGTGAGCTTGAACCACCAACATTGCACTTCAAACCAACCTTGCAATTCAGTGTATTAGCCCACAGCACCACACCAGACCTCAAAACTTTTTATGATAATTTCATATTCTCTTTTTTGAATTTACATGATTAAATCTGAACCCCTACACAGATATCCCAACTATCAACATTGACTATTGGAAACATCCAGTGAATTCAGGACATTTTGTCAGACATACATTTTGAAATTGTGTTGGGACCTAAACTAATCTGCTAGAGGAACAAATCTGTGTTCATTGGAATGTGCTTCTGCCAGTAATGGTTTCCAATTTACATTTTTATGTGGTGCTGATGCTTCTGTGGTTTTTAATTGTGATTTGGCCTTTGGCTGTTTATCTCTAATGACTATGAGAGAATTTTCTTATAGTAGAAAATGTTAATACCCAAGAGAATATTCTATGCATCCATTTAAAAATCTCCTCAGTACCAATGATCTGGCAAACTACATCTCAGACACTATGGTCAAGGTCATAACTTTAAGATTGTCATCACAGAAAAGGCAATAATTGAAAAATAAACATTTCACTTTTCAGCCACTATCATTTATACTTACAGCTCACTTTCATAACTATGTATATGAAGCGTTTCTTCTATGAATAACCTTTTGATAAACATACCAGAGCACTTTCTCTCTGTTAATTAGCCTTCCTTTGTCTTCATTTTTCTCTTTATACAGCACGGAGGCCAGTGGTCCATGATTATAGTCATTCACTTTCTTATGAACGCCTTCAACTACTTTAGCCCTTTCTCCTTCCTTTCCTCCCCTCTGTCAAAATAGTTATACAAATCCACAAAATGCTTTCTCCAGGCGTATCCTTTGAGCCTCACAGAGTCAGGAGAGAAGATTACATAACTGAACATTGAGAGAGGTTGACAACTATGTTGCATAAATGGACATCCAATAGTGACTAACAATCTCAACAGTCTGCTTGTGCGTTTTCCTGTTGAGTATTCTGTACGTTCTCCATATTATTAAGCCTCTGGCTGACTCGCACTCTCAGATCTTTTCTTTGCATGTCATAGAGAAGCCACTACACAAGAAATCCTTCCTTTTCACAAGACAACATATGCAAAATTGAATGACTCTGTATCCCCCACCCCCACCCCTTTTTTTTTTTTCTATCTTATTAGCACAGAGTGGTGTTTCTTAAACTTGCATGTGGAGTCACCATGGAGGCTGTTGACAGACAGTATTATTGGCTACGCTCTTTTCCAGAATTGCTGACTTAGTATGTACAGACTGGGAAGAGAACATTTAGATCTTGAACAAGTTCCTAAGTGACTCTGCTGTTGCTGCTCTAGATACCAAATTTTAGAATCATTGAACAGACTAAGAGCTACCAGAATAGGAACCACCGAAATCACAATTACCTGGAGAGATAAAATTTTCATTTTGATACCAAAGTGTTGGTCTCTATCTTGGGCCTTCAGAATCAGAAATTGTATTTAAATTACAAGGTTTTCAGTGCTTCTTGTTCAAATAAAAGATAGAGGGTGATCCAATTAGACAAAGTGCTATATATATATATAT